GAGAGAGAGAGAGAGAGAGAGAGAGAGAGAGAGAGAGACAGAAGTGCAAGTGCCTCTGTCTCTGTCTCTCTGTCTCTCTCTCTCATGGGACTTGCCGGAGGGCCGTGGGAGGGCCGCATTTATATAGAGCAGGGAGGGCTGCTCGAGGGCCGGATTAAACCGGGCCGCGGGCCGGACTTTGGACATGTCTGGTCTATACTCTATAACATGGGGTTAGGGACCCCTGCCTTATGGCATTTCCCACCCTTAGACACCACGTGCACGTAATGACCCATGCATTTGATTATCGAATGCGTGGGTGAAAGCAGGGAGTGATCATGTTCAAGTTATGTGATTCACTCCTACAAATCCTTGGGTTACGAATGTAATTGGCAGGCTCCATTACATTCATAACTTGAGGATTACCTGTGTCAGTAAGGCTACGTAAACAATAATCCATGAATGATTTATAATAAGGTTATAAACAGTCAAGATTCTAACATCACACAAAATAATAGGACTGCTGGAGAAGATAAGATGTGGTCATTTCTAAAACTCTGGTTGTTGTAATGCTGGGATGTGTGAGGAATTTACAAGGCAATTTTGCTGGGCATTTGCTTCCTGTTTAGTAGAAATCTGAATTATGTGAAGGATGAGAGAGAATGCTTCAACGGGAGTATGAGTTAAAGCCACTGGTGAAGAGTAACTATGCAACACATTTAAGAAAAGAACAGGAAATCAGAAATGCAAGAACATAATCCCAAATCCAAATTCACTCAGTATAATATCACACTTAATACATCTAATGAATAAAAAAGTACTCTTAAGTGGAAAAAAGCAAAGAGTCTAATGTTTTTCAAAGCAGGAAGACAAAAAGTGATCTCGACTACCTTTTATATAATTTTATTCTGGAATTCTTTTGGTTTAGATAGAATGCAGATTAATTGGAGAAGAGTCTGCTTCTATGTCTATTTCACTGTCATGCGAATAACATTTAACTTTATTAGTTTTTCGAAATTGATCAGAAATATCCTCAATTTAAAAAATGCTATCTTCAAATTATGATCTTAGTTTTTATTGACCTTGATGCAGTCAAGAATTAAAAAAAAACGAGCACATTTTACTTCAAGATTGTAATACATTATTTCAGAATCCATTGATCTGACAAATTCCTGTTCTATAGGCCAGGCACACATAACATATGGCTCACCAACAGCCTTTTACAACCTGCTGGTAGTTTTTTAAAAGTCAATACATTAACTGCCATTGAGCCAAAAGACACACTGACAAGCACCTCCAATGTCTCTAGGCTTCACGGTCATTTTGCTAGCTGTCAAACAGCTGATTGGTACACCAGATGTTCCTGTGTGGCCCGTAATGATTTTTAATGTACTAATGGGGCCCTTTCTCCTGTACAAGTTGAAGAGGCCTGCTACAGAGCTACTATCGTGTTCCCTCCAAAATAAGACCCAATCTTATTTTTTTTGCCTCTAAAAGAGGCCCTAGATCTTATTTTGGGGAGATGTCTTACCCACTTACCTCAGGACCGCCGCAGCCTGACCCTCCTACGCCCCGATACCTGTTGCGCCACTGCCCAATTTCTGCGGCCGCTCTCAGTTGCTTGCGGCAGGACACCACATGATGCATCCTCAAACAACCAGATGGTGGGACAGAGTGGGCGGGATCTTAACTAGGGCTTATTTTGGGGTAGGGCTTATATTAGGCGCACAAGTAAAAATCAAGCTAGGGTTTACTTTCAGGATAGGTTTTATTTTCGGGGAAACACAATATTAAAGGAATAACAGTCACATTGGATGCTAAACATTGCTTTTTATATTTAAAGACACTTAAGTTTATATTTTTAATAAAAAAACCTCTTACCTCAAGTATTCTGCTATCAAAATCTTCAAATGTTTCTGCCAGTTAAGGAGACATGTATCAGTGTTATGCTGCACATACAATATCCATATTATTTTCCAAGAGCAATTAAAATGCATCTCATCACAATCAGACTTCTGTGGGATTAAGTCATGTGAAGTAGACTAAATTATATAGATGCTGGAATTGGCCTTCAACGAATCATTTGATGACCTGCCCATAGTGGTACATCAATGCCCTGTGTTCCATGTGAATGCTGCTCTTCCTTTAGCTTAGGACAAATATGAACCAGTCCATGCAGCAATAATAGGACATTAATGAACTGGAACATCTATTCCATAAGGGATGAAAATGCCTCAAGAACAATAGCCATTTTTGAAATGCAAATGGAAGTATGGAGAGAAAGAGAAGGACCACATTTTGTTTTGCCCCTTTTAATTTTTAAAGCGACAAAATATAATTAAGTAGGCAGCACCAAATTATAAAGCAAACAGATGACAACCATTTTACTTAAAATTAATGTTGAAATGTCTTATTCACCTACCTAAGGATTACCTGAGTAAGCAGTCATGCACAGGTCAGATGGTATTTAAACTAAACAAAAACAGCCAGGCTACAAATGCTTACTTTTACTGTGCTAACACTACACTAGGGTAATTGTTTAGAAATGAGTAAAACAATTAATATTTCTAACTGTATTCTGGTTTTTCCAGTAAGTTCGTTTTCCAAGGGAGTCAACAATAAATTATATTGAGCCCATTTCTCTGGAATTCTCTCTGCTTTGGTTATTCAATTCTTCCCACAGTCACTGGGGAAGTAGTGAATTTGTAGTCAGAATTCATTAACATTACAAGACACGAATTTGAATTTCTGGACAGTTCACAACTTTAAATTCCCATGACAATTTGGAAGAATATGGCAATTGAGCTATAATCTGTGTTTTAATAAATATATGCAGTTATTAGATATGACCAAAATCCATGTAGTAAATATGTAGCCTGAAATAATAGCCTGGAATATTTCATGTATCTTCCCATCCTTTCCTCTTAAGATAATATTAGCAAGGAAACAATTTATCCTCAAAACTAGGTGTTTTGTTTGTTTGTTTGTGTGATATCTATTCTTCTACATGGCCTTACATTTATGAAGGTAACTTGGTATTAGCAATATACAACAAAATATGAAACCACCAAGAAATCTTGTTTCTAGAGAACAAAATGTTCATTCTTTCCAAAATTATCTCACCTCCATTGGGACCAGGATCAGGAGGTCCTAAACTGACACCTCCCCAGGATCGTCCAGTCCAACCTCTCTCCTTCTTAATCCGTATTTTCCTTCTTTTGTCTAGTTGTTTTATTTCCTCAGCTTTTGCTAACTGCAATGCCTTCTGCTCTTCTTCATCTCTCTGAGCAATGCTTTGAACTTTTCCAGATACCATCAATGGAGCATTGAGGCCAGGCCAAAGAAAACCGATTTTTCCTGAACATATCAACACAAAAACAATTATAACTTAGAGAAATATCTCTGCTATGGATATTATTTAGCATACTACCAACCTACACATCCAGAGCAAATATCAGATTTTTTTTTTTGCACTCATTTATTTTATATGTACAGCTTATCATAGCATCTTATTCAGTGGAGGAAGATTAAAACTTTAAAAAGTGTCAGACAATTTTGGCTAACCAGACCTTCCAAAAGTTCAACTGTTTTTAATAAGATAGAGAATCCAATTGTCTAGAACAGGGGTCCCCAACCCCTGGGCTGTCGTGGCCTATTTGGAATTGGGCCACACGTGTGGCTGGCTGGAGCGTGCATACAGCTCAACTCACATAAGTGGCGGGCTGGCCAGCATTTGCGCAAATGCCATCAGCCCACTGCTCACACAAATCAAGCTACGCATGTGTGAACTAGTCTGCTCCTTGCACAGCCCAGTTCTCCTCTGCCCCCCCCCCCCAGCCAGGCCTCCAAGCCACAAATATTGGGGACTGCTGGTCTAGAACATATGACTGAATTTATGACTGAAAGAGAGTCAATATTTTCACATACAGTATCTCCCTCTCTTCCAACTTGGAATCAATTCTTTTCAAGTAGAAAACATATTTCCTGAAATATATTCTGATTATTACTCTCTTTGGCTATATTCACCACCCCAAGGAAATGCTTATAAATACACTATTATGTGTATTTATTTATTTATTATGTGGATTCTGCAATAAGAAATGGCAGTATATTTTCATCTCCCAAGAGAAGTCTTTCTGCTGGGATTCAGCAGTAATTTTTTTCACACACGGTAGACTCTATTACTGTATTATGTGGAGTGAGGCCATAATTTATCTTAGGCAGCAGATGCTAGGGAGTCTGGAGAAGATAGTAATGATAGCTTCCCCATACCATTATTGTTTTCCAGACATACCAGGACCTTCCCACTTCAAAGAGACAGCTATCTCCCCTATGTAAGCTATCTTTATCTCCTAAACTACCATCTTACTATCTGGGGGATTTTCTTTTCCAATTAATTAACATCTGGCAAGAAACGGGGCTGGAATTTGATTAATCGGCTCTGGGCCTTTGTACTTTTCAAGATTCTCTAGAACAGGGTTTCCCAAACTGTGAAGTATACCTCCTTTTTTTGGAAGATTTTTTTATCCCATCTTTATTATTTTTATAAATAATTCAAGGCAGCGAATATACCTAATGCTCCCTTCTCCTTCTATTTTCCCCAAACAACAACTTTGTGAGTTGGGCTAAGAAAGGGTGACTGTCCCAAAGTCATCCAGCTGGTTTTCATGCCTGGGGTGGGATTAGAACTTAACAGTTTTCTGATTTTTAGCCTGGTGCCTTAATCACTACACCAAACTGGCACTTTTACATTGTTATATTACAATCCTTTATATTGCTACCTTCTTTACATTATTATAAAAAAATCCAGCCTTTTGAGAGTTTCACTGCATTATTTTCATTGCTCATTTGTGTTAATTTTGGTATTTTGATTTGTAAGGGTAATGTATACATTAAGATTACACTAAAGAGAAATGTAATAGCAAAAAATTTAACCCCTGTTCCTTCTCATTTCTTAATAGGCGCGACTTAACTCATACTGTATCCTATCAACATCAGTATTAGTTGGACTGATTTGAACAATCAATCCCTTCTGGACTCTTGATTATTTCATGAATTTACCTTCGCCAAGGAACTGGCCTCGATTGAGATCCCTTGTTTTTTTCTTCTTGCCTCGCTTGCCTCGCCCCTTCCTTCCACCTGCAGTATTCTCTGCTGCAACTCCTTTCCAGAGTTCACTGGCTGTCACTGTTATGAAACAGACATGTATAGGTTATCCAAATCATGATGAATTTTAACGACAGTTCGAATGAAGAAAAAAGTGCATGCTATTTGCTCTCGTGTTTAAGCCAGCTATACCTCAAGCAGGAAGTATCAAAAAGCTGCTGAGATGGGCTTGCACTTAATTTGTTTGCAGTAAAGTATTTACTGGAGTTAACAAACGTATAAGATAACATAAAAACATCCTGACCTATTGTCTGGAAATTGAGTCATGGCAATGGGACTTCTTTTCTTTTTGGCTTGAAATATTTTGCTGCTTATCCAAGTAACTTCTTCAGTCTGAGAACTGTCACCAACATCATGACCTAACCATTCATCAATTTGTATAACCTTTTTTTACTTCCACAAGAATATCAAATAGTTATCTCCATTGCCAAGTGCCTTCCAAAATGTATATGAAAATGTATATACCCATAGGACTACAGGTAGTCTTTGGGATATGATGTTAATTCCAGTAATCTCAATTGCCATAGCTAAACAAGGACTGCATGGGTCATTCTGCAAGGACCTTAATAACTACAGCTTCAGACTTCCTGCCAGCTTCTCCATTGACTTTGCTTGTGAGAAGCTGACATGGAAAGCCACAAATCACAATCACATGACTGCAGGAATGCTGCAATGATCAGAACTATGAGGACATGTCATAAATAACATTCATTCTGTGCCACTGTACATTCACTGAACATTAAAAGTAATGGCGGCATCTGTTAATGGTACATATCCCTGGTCCCTGCAGATATGACACTGGAATGTTCTGTGGTCATGTGATCCAAATTTGGGTGCTTGGCAGTCCAAATAGGTGCTTCAACTCCCTTCATCAATCCATATCCCCCCCATCTTTGTCCTTTTGGCTCCCAGCACCTGCTGCCCCGTACTCTGCAAACCCTGACTGAGCTTTGCCTTCTTGCTCCCGCTGCTGACCAGCCTGGACCTTTACAAGGCAGCTGCTAGCTGCACAAGGCTTTCTTCACAAGGTCGTGAACAGCAGCTTCCTTGCAAGACCTGGTGAAGAAGGCCTTGCGTGGCCAAACAGCTGCCTCACGAAGAGTCAGGCTGGGCCTGCCTCATCAGCAGAAGAAGAAAGAAAACAACAAAGGTCAACTGGGGCAGTGGAGTGAGGGTGACTGGGGTCCTGGAGCACAGGGCAGCGAGAGGATCTGGGGTTGGGCTTGTCTTTTAATGATGGATTTTCTAGTATTGTTGAATGAGGATTATGTGTAAATTAGTGTTGTTGAATGAGGATTATGTGTAAATACAGGCCAGTTGTTTGAGTTAGCTAGGGCAGGAAACTAATGGAAATCCATTGTTGCAGGATATAATAATAACATTTTGAAACCTTGAGTTTTCATCTGTCCCTTCTTACCCCCAAAGAGAATCAAGGTGGGGTAATCCTTAACTTCTTCATATTAAAAAAACAAAACAAAAGGGTAGACACCTCATGGTTTTCATATTCAAAAAAAGTCTTTCCTTGGCTATCTGCTGACTAAATTCCTAATGGCTGGGACGGGTGGGCCAGTGGGCTTAGACCTGGGCTTCAGAATGAAATGATGCTTTTATTGGGACTTACAAACTGCAAAGGAGATGCTGATCTTTAATATGAAATTAGATTAATCAAGATTATAACTGATAAAAGGCCAAGCTAATAAGATCCTACTAAGTTCATGCTAGAACTCATTCTGATTTTTTTTTTGTTCAGGGTCATAAAAAATACATTACAGATGGTGACTACAGAGGAATTGTTTAACTGTGGCCCGAGGATGAGTACACTGAGATTAGTCTCTAGAACAGGGGTAGGCAACCTTGGCTCTTTTATGCCTTGTGGACTTCAACTCCCAGAATTCCTGAGCCTCCACGAGTCATAAAAGAGCCAAGGTTGCCTACCCCGGCTCTAGAACAAAAGGGATTTAGGAATACGTTCAGAGTCTTGTTTCCATTTTGATCCTCAATTTGCCCAAATATTCTGGTTTTATTGTCTTCTCTCCTGGCATTCTGTATTCCATACTCTTTTCTTCCCATCAACCACATGAATCATCACATCTAAAAAAATCAATTCTCTACTCCTCTTCCACGGTCAATATGGAACAGAGGAGAATCCATTCACAGCTAGTGGTGACAATACTGCTAAGTGCTACTTAAAAGATTCTGCAGACTTTCCAGTGGCGATAGTGCATGGCCAATGTAAAAGAAAGTAATACTTCAAATAATTTTCAAAATATGGAAACTTATAGCATTTAACTAGTCCTAGATACAACAAAGACTGTCAAATGTTCATCAGGAAATTAATACATTCATTCATACTTGTACGTCGCTATACCTGGGCTGACCAGGCAATGCTGCCAAGGTCCTTTCTTATTGTCTGGAGGCTACGAGGGTCTGGATAGGGGAGAACAGGCTGCACTCCAGCCCTGGCAAAACGGAATGGTCGTGATTTTAAGGCCATTTAGCTCTGGGATTTTCCATCTTTAATTCTACATGGAGATGCGGTAAGAGTTGGTGCACAATTTGTGGGTCCTCCTGCACTCTTGGCTCCTGCTCGAAAGGGCTTTTGCACACACTTGTCTTATGTATCAATTGTTCTCATTCCCAGAACAGCTTTACACTCAGTGATTCATTTTGGATTATCTACATGGAGTTGCTCTTGAAGAGCATTCAGAAGCTGCAGCTGATGCAAAATGTATCGGTACGGGTAGTTTTTAGTATTTCTGTTAATGCCCATAAAACAATGCTGTTGTGCAAGTGCAAGTGCATTGGTCCCAGTAAGGTGTGATTCAAGGTACTGATTATCAACTACAAAGCCCTATACTGGAGAGGACCAGGCTAACTGTGGGGCTATCTTTTTCCTATCATCTCCTTTATCCCATCAGGTCTAGAGAGGTCCAGGTCCTTTCTATCAAACAATGTTATCTTGTTGGACATTACAGCACCTGCCCAATGGAATAGTATCCTTCGCAGATTCAGATGGCCCAAACCCTGAATTGAAAACTGGCCATTTTCTCAGTCATATGGGTCAGGTGGCTCTCCTACTGTCAATGTGTGTTTTTTTTTCCTGGTGAGAAGAGTTATTGTTCATCTTTGGGCCCTTGGGGTTATATGTTGTGGGTTTTGCTGTGTTTGTAATCCTTGTAAATTGCCCAGAGTCACTCCTGTGAGATTGGCAGCTATAAATATATAAATACATACAATGCATATATACATATAACTCAAGACTATTGGGTCCTCTAATGTCCACCCCTCAATCAGATGTCCTGCTACATATTTCATTTTATCTGAAATATCAATGCTAAGAAAAAAAATAAAACATTGGTTATTCTGATGCAAGAGACTTCACATCATGTAGCATAGCCCAATGACAGCTTAGAAAAAAAAATTCCTAATATCCTCAAAGTAGTTTTGATTACCGAACTACAGTTTCCAGATCAAATACTATTTGCTATTTTAACTGCAGTTGCTGATGGTTGAAGTTGAGTAATTATCTGGAGGACCTCAATGTCCATCTCTACCCTGGTAAGATTGGATAAATCAACACTGATTAGCTCTGATTGTGAGAGCTTTAGGGGTCCACAGGACTATTTTAATTCCTTAGCCAACTGAGGAATCATGTAAACTCTTGAGCAATGTAATTCTCTATGAAAGAATTTGAGCCTACTGTATGGCAGTAGGGATGGTCAAACAGGCCCACTTTCCCATTCTGAAAGTTTCCACAGAAGGTCAGACAGCTGCACTCTCTTTGTACAAGCAGGGTTTCAGTTCACTCCAGTCCAGAGAGTGTTGCTCGATCCCCCGCTGTCACTAAATTTACAGGTGATATACTGAGTGGCATATTTGCACAATATGGCTAATGTGTCAGCTATAAGCTTTCTTTAGCCAGGCAGCTTTAATGGAAGTTATACACACTTTAGTGAACAGCCGTCTTGATATACCCTTGCAAAGTGTCCAAAAATATAACTGGAGTAAATTAAAACTCTGCTCAAATTACCTAGCTACCTATCATCTAAAAATTAAGGCAATAATGGTGATTTTATAGCCCTAAACAACTTATGGGATAGTTGCCTTACCAAGTAAATGTCTCTCCTGCTATGAACCTGACTAATAAGTTAGATTAACAAGAGATGTGTTTGCTATCAGAAGCTTATTTATCTGACATGTGGGAAAAGGCCTTCTCTTTTGTGTAGCTTCAAGGCTATGGAATCAAAAGTTTTCACCAAGATTTTCATTATTAATAGATTTTAATTTCACTTTATATTTTGGTTTTAAATATGGTAAGCTGCCTTCAATGTTTATAAAAGTAGAAAGATGGGGTGTGAATCTAATTAACATAGCAGTAAAATTATAGGCTGCAGGGTTGATTAGAAACTTCCAAATACTTACATTTATTGAAAAAGCTTCTCTGCCTTCTCTGTTGCACTGTCACATTATATGATGCAGAAATGTTGCAATGTGTCTGAAAAGTCCATGCCAAGGCAGCATGCTGGCAACTAATTCCATGGTTTGAAATCAAAGCATAACCTGTGGGGAAAAATTATATGTTAATATCCCAATTATTGAAATGTTGAAAATATTAACTTATGAGTAAGACACTACATCTCAAGAAATATTGATATATTTGGATACATTTCTTGGATGATATGTACAGTGTATAAGAGAAAGAGAGATGCCTTTCTTAAGACGATTCAGCCATCAATAATTTTTGTAGATAATTGTAGTAAATACAACAACTTTAGGCTTTTGCTCACCAACTTATCAAACACATCTTTTTATCTATTAAAATATTTTAAATGCATTAACTTAATCAATTCACTCATTAATATTCCAATCTTAAAGCAAATTATCCCAATTTGCATATAAAGCATTAACTCAGGAAAAACAATACAGAGTCTACATCTCTCTAGCCAGTTTACAGAATAATTGGTTGCTTAATATTATACTCCCAGCCCCAGTTTTCTAGACAATTCTCTAGACCTGTGTTTCTCAATGTTGGGAAATTTAAGATGGGTGCACTTCAACTCTCAGAATTCCCCAGCTATACTATCCATTGTAAGCTACGCAAGGTTAAGAAAATATGGCAATGTTACGACCTGTGGACTTCAATTCCCAGAATTCCTGAGCTAGCATGTCCACAGGTCATAAAGTTGCCATAGTTGTCCATCTCTGCTCTAGACAGAAAATAATTTCCTTCAGCATCTCTTACTGGGAGCACAAACTCTGTATTTTCTTCGCTGCAAGAAGCAGAGATGATTTTGAACAGAAAAAGAAAAGCCTTGAGAGCAGAAGCTTCCTTATCTCTTATTACCTTTCACTTTCTACCTATGAATAAAAATTGGAGCCCATTCTCAGTACTCCTCAAAGTTGGGATGTTCAGAAATGGGTATAATTCATACAAGACACACCCACCCAACAAAATTCTATTACAGATTATCATTTTTGTGTTTTACCCACTAACACTTTGCTTCAGGGGAATGTCATAGAAAGCAATGACTGTGAGACAAATGAATGCTGCAGTACTTATTGAGAAAGTATGAGATGGGATCAGTGAACATTGGTATCAAGTGAAAAGGATTCACAATTTCAGAAAAGAACAAAGAAACAAGAAAAGGCTAAACTCTCTGCATTTGAAATGTTTTTAATTTTTATTTATTATTACTAAATTTATTTGCCATCCAAGGCGATTTGAGGCGATTATTCTAAGCACTATTGGTTAAACTATATCTGCAATAAATTCTGAAAGCAATCCATCTTAATCAGTGCCTATGTCCAATATTCTAATTTAGCTTGCTCTGGCAATGCAAGCAAACATTGCACAGTAAAATACAAAATTATGCAACAATTCTAAAGTGATTTTATTTTATTGCTAATATGTAAATTTGCAAACTTACAATGTAATCCCACCGTTGTCTTTTCATGATAGACTAAAATGAAATTAGCCAATCATGTTTGCCAAATGGGTTATGCAAGCCAATTTATGTAGTTATTTTGTGGTTTAGTAGGCTATGCAAAGCCTTAGAATTGGTTAAGTTAATCACGGGTGCGATTTGTGAACAATTTATGTGCATTTATTCAGAAACTGACTTCCCTATGTACAATTGGATTTATTCCCAGTTACGTAAGGTGGATAAACTTTCTGTGAGGAAATATTAAATTCAGAGCCCGTCTTCTCATTTTTTATTAGATTTGCTACTCTTAAAAATGCAACCGAAACTTCAGCGGCTATAAATGGCTGCAATCAAATACAAATGATCATATACAAGGGCAGAGACTAGAATGGCCCAGAAGGAGAAAGGCTAACGTGAGGAAGCCCCCCGATCCAGCCTGTGCACGGAAATCTTCTCAGCCCAGGCCAAAGCAAGAAAAGAGTTCACCTCTGCACGCGGTCCTGAGGATGCCGACATTACAGACTCTCTGGGCCGCGACAACTACGGCGGCCGCCATGTTTCCAAAGATCCTGGGCAGCTCCCGTAGTTCTTGCGGACTGACACCTTCTTCCGGGTCTAAAATTTGAGCGCGTAAAAGTGTGAGTTCGGTTTTCCAGCGCAGTAAAATCACATGAAGTTAATCAGAATGACACACACTGCTGAAGGCAGCTTTTTCTTTCGAAGGGATTATCGTTAGTACGCAGCCTCCGGATCCTAGAAGCCAGCATTTCTAAGATATACGGACTTCAACTCCCAGAATTCCTTCGCCAGGGCTGAGCAGATTCAAACACTAAGAATTCTAGTCCCAGAAGGTTTTGTCGTCACATCCTGGTTTCTTTCAAAAGTAGCGAGAAATCACTATCTGCTTCCATGTGCGGCGCTGTAAGAAATAACTGAAGCTTCCAATAGAAAGGGCGCATTAAACAATAAATCGATTACTATTTGCATTGTACTAGTGCCCGGCGTCACGGTTGTCTTTATCAACCTCGTTCTCTGCCAGCGAGCCTGGTTAATATACCTCCACTCCGGTTTTCGATGGTACATTTCCAGACAGGCTCAACAACGCGAGGAGAAGCAGATGCCTGGCGTGGCGCTGATTTAACCTACTTCTCTCTCCCTGCCTGCCTGCCTGCCTGCCTGCCTCTGTTTCTGCTGGGGATGGTATTATAAAGGATATTCCTGCATGGTTTGCAGTGCAATTGCAAGCATAAGCGACAAACAAACTAAAAAAAAAATCGTCCTGGCCATTTTTAAAAAAAGCCTTTAAAAGTCATTTGACTTCTGGTGGCAAGATTTCAGAACTGTTTATCTAATTGCCTGCTTTCTAGGGCTGAGAGTGAACTGGTCCAGAATCACTCAGCTGTCTTTTGTGCCTAAGTAGGATTAGAACTTGGGATTTCTTCTAGCTTGGTGTCTTAACCATACCAGGCTGGCTCACATGAGTTTTAATTCATGTTCAGTGATCTGTTGAGCACAGATCTAATGTTGGTATATGGAGATTGTTCAGTGGCGTATCCAACTTGCTCCCCCCCTTTCTTTTTTCTAGTTAGTGAAACTACCCTAGGAAAATAAAGTTCCAAGTAAATTGCACAAACTTGAAATCTACAGAAGTAGACAATCCACCAGAGTGGTCTTCCATTTGTGGATATTGGAGCTAACATAAGAATGTGGATCTTCCAATTTGCATGGTACTCCCCAAATTCTGCTTTTTGTTACCTTTCAATGTTCCTATTTATGCAAGAGGCAGGAATCCCAGGCAAGGAGCGAAGAACAGATGACATGGGTGGGCTGGGGTATCACAGGCTGGCACTATGGAGTCCAGATAGATTGGTGGGGACTATGGGGAGGCTGGTGGGGGCTGGAGGTAGGTGCTACAGAGTGGTGGTGGAGGCTGCAAGTAGGCCAGCGGGGACCATGGATGGATGCTACAGAGCATGGGCAATCTAACAAGTTGTGCTATGGGTGGGTGCACTATGGAACGTGATTGGGGAGTGCTGCGAGTAGGTGCACACCTTGGAGGGCTGGCAGAGGCTGCTATAGTGTACAACAGGGGTGTCAAACTGCCAACTCACGAGGAAACCGCACCCACCCCATTGCTGGCAATGGGGAAAAAGTTCCGATACGTTGTGCGACGTCATGTGACGTTGCGAGTTTGACATGTTTGGTGTACAAGGTCCCTGGAAACTTATACTTTACAGCAGGGGTCCTCAGGAGAAAAATGTTGGGAATAACTTACAGTCTAGTAGTTTAATGAAAAGAAGGACTAGGGGTGACATGATAGCTGTGTTCCAATATCTCGGGGGTTTCCACAAAGAAGAGGGAGTCAAGCTATTCTACAAAGCACCTGAAGGCAGGACAAGAAGCAATGGATAGAAACTAATCAAGGAGAAAACCAACCTAGAACTAAGGAGAAATGTCCTGACAGTTAGAACAATTATTCAGAGGAACAGTTCCAGAGGTTGTGGGTGCTCAACACTGAAGGTTTTTAAGAAGAACCTTCCTTCTGGCTTCCCCATTGGCTTTGCTTGTGGGAAGCTGGCAAGGAGGGTTGCAAATGGTGATCACATGACTGTGGGAGGCTGCAACTGTCGTAAGTGCGAGATGATTGTCAAGAACCTAAATCATGATCGCATGACAGAAGGGGTGCTCTGATGGCCATAACCTGAGGACTTGTCCTAAGGAGCACTCATTCAGTGATATTGTAATTTGAACGGTCACTGAATGATGATAATAATCTGATGATTACATGTATTCCTTCAAGTAACCTCAGTTCTAATGCTAAATATATCTAACCTCTATAATGAAAAGTGGCTATTCCTCTCCTTCATTTGCCTATCACAAACTATGTGAGGTAGGGTTATTTAATTATTTAAAACATTTGTATAGGCGCCCATCTTCTAACCAACTCTAGGCAGTTCCCAATCAAAAATTAAAACAACTTACAAAATCATATTAAAACTATAAAGCTGAACAGATTAAAACATTAAAAACAATAAAAATCTGGCACCAAGTCAGCTTCTAAAGTGCAATTATCCAATCTTATCCCAGCACTTGGGGAAAAGCCATCCTTGTTTTCTTTTTGGCACCAGGCAAACACAATTTTACCCTTTGGGGCCTTTTAATAATATGTTACTACTGTATTGCTGTGCAACTACTGTAGTTTATTGCTGCTTTTACTTTCTCATTGTTTTAATGTTAATCTTAAATGATTTTGTTTTGTGTTATGATTGTATCAAATGTCTTAAGGTATTAATACTGTTTGAATTTATAGTTGTAACTATGTGTGTAATTTTTAATGGGGAATAATGTATAAATATGTTAAATCACACATACCTCCATTCCAATCATAAGCAGAGTTCAGAAAAGGAATAAGAAATAGTAAGCCAAAGAAATTAAAGGTATGAGAGAAAACATAATGAAAATGAGTTTACACCAATAAGAGAGAGAAACAGAGAGAGGAAAGAGAGAAAGAGGAAAGAGAATGAGAAGAGAAAGAGAGAGAAAGAGAGAGGAAAGAAAGAAAGAGGAAAGAGAAGGAGAGAGAGAGAGAAAGAGAGAGGAAAGAGAGAAAGAGGAAAGAGAAAGAGGAAAGAGAGAGAGAGAGAGGAAAGATAAAGAGAGAGAAGAGAGAGAGGAATGAGAGAGAAAGAGGAAAGAGAGAGAGAAAGAGAGGAATGAGAGAAAGAAAGGAAAGAGAGGAAAGAGAAAGAGGGAGAGGAAAGAGGGAAAGAGGGGAGAGGAAAGAAAAAGAGGAAAGGGAGAGCGAAAGATGGAGAGAAAGAGGGAGAGGAAAGAAGAAAGAGAGAAAGAAAAAGAGGGGAGAGGAAAGAGAAAAAGAGGAAAGAGAAAAAAGATTGAGAAAAGAGAGAGGAAAGAGGAAAGAGAAAGAGGAAAGAGAAAGAAAGAGAAAGAGAAAGGAAAGAAAGAGGAAGGAGAAAGAAGAGAAAGAGGAAAGAGAAAGAGAAGAGAAAGAGAGAAAAAGAAAGAGAAAGAGGAAAGAAAGAGAGAGAGAGGAAAGAGAGAAAGAGGAAAGAGGAAAGAAAGAAAGAGAGAGAGAAAGAGAGGAAAGAGAAAGACGAAAGAGAAAGAGAGAAGAGAGAGAGGGGGAGAGGAAAGAGAAAAAGAGGAAAGAGGGAGAGAGAGAAAGAGGGAGAGAAAGGGAGGATAGAGAGAGAAAGAGAGGAAAGAGAGAAAGAAAGAGAGAGAAGAGGAAAGAGAAAAAGAGGAAAGAGAAAAAGAGGAAAGAGAAAAAAGATTGAGAAAAGAGAGAGAGGGGAAAGAGAAAAAGGAAAGAAAGAGGAAAGAGAAAGAGAGAGACATAGAAAGAGATAAAAGAGAGAGAGAATGTTAGTGGAAAGAGAGAAAGAGGAAAGAACGAAGAGAAAGAGGAAAGAGGGAAAGAGAGAGAAGAAAAGAGAAAGAAGAGAAAGAGAGAGAAAGAGAGGGAGAGGAAAGAGAAAAAGAAAAAACAGGGAGAGAGAGAGAGAGAAAGAGGAAAGAGAAAGAGAGAAAGAGAGGAAAGAGAGGAAAGAGAAAGAGAGAGAGAGGAAGGAAAGGGGGAGAGGAAAGAGAGAGAAAGAGAGAGGGGGAGAGGAAAAAGAAAAAGAGGAAAGAGGGAGAGGAAAGTGAGAGAAAGAGAAAGAAAGAGAGAGTGGAGAGGAAAGAGAAAAAAGATTGAGAAAAGAGAGAAAGTGGGAAGAGAGAAAGAGGAAAGAGAAAGAGAGAGAGAAGAGAAAGAGGGAGAGGAAAGAGAAATAGGAAAGAGAAACAAAGAGAAAGAGAGAGGAAAGAGGGAAAGAGAAAGAGAGAAAGAGGAAAGGGAGATAGAGGAGAGAGAAAGAGAGAGAAAGGAAAGAAAGAGAGAAGAGAGAGAGGAAAGAGAAAGAGAAAAGAGAGAGACAGAGAAAAAGAGAGGAAAGAGGGAGAGAGAAAGGGAGAGGAAAGAGAAAGAGAGGAAAGAGAGAAAGAAAGAGAGGAGAGAGGAAAGAGAAAAAGGAAAGAGAAAAAAGATTGAGAAAAGAGAGAGGAAATAGAAAGAGAGAGGAAAGAGAAAAAGAGGAAAGAAAGAGGAAAGAAAAAGAGAGAGAGACAGAGAAAGAGAGGAAAGTGAGAGAGAATGTTAGAGGAAAGAAAGAGGAAAGAGAAAGAGAAGAGAAAGAGGAAAGAGAGAAAGAAAGATAGAGAGGAAAGAGAGAAAGAGGAAAGAGAAAGAGAAGAAAAAGAGAAAGAGAGGAAAGAGAAAAAGAGAAAAGAGAGAGGAAAGAGAGAAATAGAGGAAAGAGAAAGAGACAGAAAGAGAGGAAAGAGACAGAAAGTTAGAGAAAGAGAGAGAGGAAAGAGAAAGAGAGAAGAGAGAGGAAAGAGTGAGAAAGAGAGGAAAGAGAGTGAGAGAAAGAGGAAAGAGAAAGAAGGGAAAGAGAGAGAAAGAGAAAGAGGAAAGAGAGAAAGAGGAAAGAGAGAGACAGAAAAAGAGAGGAAAGAGGGAGAGAGAAAGGGAGAGGAAAGAGAAAGAGAGGAAAGAGAAAGAGAGAGGAAAGAGAGAAAAAGAGGAAAGAGAAAAAGAGGAAAGAGAAAAAAGATTGAGAAAAGAGAGAGAGAGGAAAGAGAAAGACAGAGGAAAGAGAAAAAGAGGAAAGAAAGAGCGGAAAGAGAAAGAGGAAAGAGAAAGAGAGAGACAGAGAAAGAGAGGAAAGAGAGAGAGAGAAAGTTAGAGGAAATAGAGAAAGAGGAAAGAGAAGAGAAAGAGAGG